GCATCGTAGGATATCATTCATGACCCTGGTAGAGGTGCTCCGTTATGTATTGTACACTTTCGAGACCCATACAAATACAGGATTCGTAAAGAAACGATGATCGCCTGTGAGGGAATGCATACTGGCCAGTTCATCTATTGTGGCAAGAAAGGTACACATTTCATTATATTACGTTGTATTTTGAGACATCTCTAAATTGATTATTATATTATAGCCTGTCCGATCTACTATTTATAAGTTAAAATCTTATACTCATGTTTAGCATTCAAGTGGAAAAATTTCTGAAGGAATCAATTCACATGATAGTGGTAATAGTTTTAGAATAGCTAGTTTTTGCACTGAAGCGAGATCAATTTTAGCTTGTATTTGACGTCAGAAATCTTATATCACTGAAATGCTGCATTAGTGATGCGATCATTTTTAGATATAGGATGTCCTGAAGAATTGCTGAAATGCGAATGCAACACAGCGTTAGACTGTTCTCCAATCCTGAATGGTCCTTCAGGGAACAGTAATACATATATGAAGCAGAGAACAGCATCATTCAGACGATGAGGACCTCTGCCGGAAGATTATGATCGTCTACAAGCACATGCGTTAAGTACAAATAAAACATCTCGAGAAAGGGGGGTGTACAGTACCTCCACCCCTATACATGTGTATCACCAAATCAAGCCCTAATGTATGATGGACCCAGTATCGTGCAACAGATGGCATACAGCCCGCACCCGCCGATTGGCACAGTGTATCGGCTTTACCTGAGACGAACCGGATGAACTAACGCGTCAGTGATCATTAACCACCCTGTCCTTCAACACTGTCAGTTGTGCAGGTGGATGCAAGCTCTACGCAAGGCGGATAAGTTTTATTGCGCTTGTCGTTGATCGACCACTAAAGCAGTAACATGGATGAGGAATTTAGGTCATGTACTGTTTAAATATCAGATCTCTGCTGTTTATAGCCATAACCGACTGTACAATGTGGTAAAGAACTAATGTAAAATAAAATAAAGTAAGTATTTTCGAAGATTCATGCGTTTTCCGTTGTTTGGTTGTTGAATTTTAAATTGAATTGAATTAAATTGAATTAAATTGAATTTTAAAGCATTTTCGCATCGTTACGGTTAGCCAGTTATATTTTGTTATTAGCACAGTTTCTATTGAATATTTATTTTGTTAAATTGCTTCCATTGCTTAGTTGGTTGTTTTTTACATTGTCGATCGGTACTTCATACATGTAGAGAAATGACGCATCAAGGGAATCTCAGTACCTTCGGAAAATATTAATGATAAAGTACCAAAACAGGCAATACAGCGGTTAGTGAGAAAGAAGCAGTTTTCTAAACTGTTTCTCGATTTCAGCAGTATGTTTACGACTGAGCGATATCGACGGCTAAAAGTCCTTGCAGTGAAACAGATAAGATTTCTTTTTGAGGTGCGGGTTCGTCAATGATTATCATTTCTGTTCTTCATCGTGTCAGACGCTTCTGTGCATGTGCGACGTAGATCATCAGTGCTACACGTTTTAAACAGGTGGTTTTTGCCTGTTTTCTATAACGTGAATGAAAATGAGCTACGCTAGAAACCGTTATCGATAAAATTATCAGATTATGTCAATACATTTTAAATTCCTTTAGGAGTGCTGAACATATTGTGCTTAACTGATCAGGCGACCAAGCACTTTTACGAGATTTTCAGTTTTAGTGAACTCCTATTTATATATTTTTATATATTACGCTGTATGCGGTTTATTTCGCTCGATATTAATTAGTATTTGACAGAAGTTCTCTGGCTGTATTAAAAATTAAAGAGATTTTGGTTCTTGCAAAGCATTGGCGTATTAAATGTCACGTGCCATTATTTTAGTCACTGGAGTAAGCCATACGTCGTCCTTTGTTCCAGTTGTTTTATGTGTATTGAAGAAGTTTATTTGTGTCAACTTGTTTTGAAATACCTTGTTTGAAGCTTTAAGGAGTAATTTGGAAACTATTTTTCACAGTATCCTATGAGCTAAGTTGTTACCCTGTGATCTTGTCATGTTGATGCGGAATATTTTTATTAAGTTGTTAACAATTAATACTTAGATTATGACATAAATTTGAAACGTGTTGATTTCTGATTTAAATGTAATTAATTTAAGCTACTTTGCATATTGGAAATGTCTTGCCGCTCTCGGCGATGCCTGAGGGAACAGTCATATGCAACCTGGAAGAAAAATGCGGCGATCGTGGCAAACTTGCCCGGACATCTGGTGAGTTCTGTGCATATCATTGAAAATAATATTTTAATATTTTGTTAATCGTAATTATTAATCTTTCAAGGGACGCCTTAAGACAGTATGGCGAGATCTTTCAATTCTTTGTCACAAGTTTTGCTGCATTCAATATAATTAAAGATTTTTCCGCGCTTTATTTGTTTCAAGATTTTCTACCATCATCGAAGTGCATAATTATCCCAGATAATTGAACGTGGAAGCACTACTACTTTAAGCTATCTTCTAGGGTTTTAATTTGTACATATTCCGTAGATTAGACTCTTGATTATGATAGGTATAGAATTTTTTGTGCTTCTTGATCATTATGAGACTAGCACAGTTGGTTGAAGAACTTTTTATCTTCCAGCAACTTCGTCTGGTTAGTTGTTATTATTCTTTCTCCTTGAAACAGGGCAGAGAGAACATCACAAGATACCTACTGCAAGCCGACGCTTGCTCAAGAACCAACTCAGTTGCTGCCATTTGTTTTCGCGACCGATTAAAATTCCACCTTCTTAACTGCGTCTCCCTGCCGCGATTTCCTTAAGACCAATCATTTTAGTGTCTGTAACACTTAGAACAGGAATGGCACCATCATATTGCATTATGCAAATCATGACCTTATTTTGACTTCTGTCCCTTTTCTACGACAGCTTGATGATATTTGAATGCTGATTTTGTGGAATAAATCTGTTAATACCAATTTTCAAGGCAATTACGCTACTGTCATTGCCCATAACCCAGAGTCGAAGAAAACTCGCGTGCGTCTACCCTCTGGGGCGAAAAAGCTCTTGAACGCGACCAATCGAGCGATGATAGGTTTGTTAAAATAGTACATGTTTAACGTGTTTTTCATTCATAAATTTTAGGAATAGTCGCTGGTGGAGGTAGAACCGATAAGCCGATTTTGAAAGCAGGTCGAGCGTATCACAAGTACAAAGCTAAGAGGAAGTGCTGGCCAAGAGTTCGTGGTGTTACTATGAACGTATGTGACGCGCTTCTTAAATTGTTTTTCTTCATATAGAGTATGTTTTTGAGATGAAAGTGATAATATAAATTTCGTCAGTATATTACAAAAATTGATCTCTTCTTTGTTTTTTCAGCCTGTTGATCATCCATTCGGTGGTGGTAATCACCAGCACATCGGTAAACCTTCTACCATTCGTCGCAGCGCATCTCATGGTCGCAAGGTATTGCAAATGTTAAAGTTCTATTTGCGTATTAAATACAAATTTTTCTTAGGTTGGTCTTATTGCGGCCCGTCGTACTGGTCGTATACGTGGTACCAAGCCGGAAAAAGTTCAGAAAGATGGCGAGTGATGCGTGATATTGTATTATTTTTGAAATAAGAGAATTGTTCTCGTGGCGCTGCAGAGCACTCTGTTCGTCCTTTGAAGTCTATGAATTTTTTTCTCAAAGTTTTAATTTTCAGTGTATTATTGTCAAGTGGCAGATGAGAAAAATTTGCCATACTGACACTGCAATTCGGGGCCGTGTATTAAATCCTTCAAATTCAGCCGCATATCTATTAACAGTGTAGGGTACCCTTTGCGCTGCATTTAGACTGCTGCACAATGGACATAAATGGAAGATGAGCTCCTGCCATAGAGGAGTGAGGTATATCTGGGCGTCATTGTCAGAGATAACAACTCAGTATTCGTAAAGAAATTTTGCAGAGTGAACCTCCAGCCTTAAATTTATATACCATCGCTGATCACGTGCTGTACCGGTAGCTTTTCGAGAAATGAGTAATGGACTTGTATCTTATCCGCCGTGTCCTATGCATAGTATAAACAAGATCTCATATATTTCGAAATAATAACGGCAAATCATTGACTACATAATGGCACATCCAGGGCAACTTGCAGAAAGAATTTTAAGCGATAGCTACTTATCCACTTAATGTCCATCTACTACATTTTCAAACCGAACAAGTCAAGTACAGTATATATTCGGACAGAAATGACAGCGAATGTTCGGTTTCTTTAAGGCCATAATCTTTGATAGACCGTTGTATGGTTTAAAAATGAGCTGATTAATGTTCTGCGCTGAAAGATCTGTCCGTCTGCGGTAAGCTTACGAGTAGTGAAGGTACCTGATTGGCTAATTGATTCAGGTGTGACAGATTTGTGTCTGAGATATGGAGGCGGCGGTTTGAAA